CAATACCAACCGTCTTACGGTTCCAAGAAACATGTGTACCAAGTTTCATATAATTTTCACTCAAGTTACAGCTTGTACAGACAGACGTACAGACAGTCACCCGGATTTCAACTCGTCTCTTCATCCTGATCATTTATGTATATATAACCCTATATCTAATTCGATTAGTTTTAGGTGATACAAACAACCGTTAGATGAACAAAACTATTATACTCTGTAGCAACAGGTTGCGAGAGAATAAAAATTGGTTGGGATTACTAAAATAGTTCATGAGATAAGTTTCAAATGGTGCAGAAGGTAAAAGTATGCGCATATTAAGTATACGCACTGTAGACTAATAAACTGGACTAAATAAGTCAATGCTACTAGGTTGTAATGCAAATAGAGTTATCACATAAAATTGATTATTTAACAACAGTCAATATTTCTCAAGTAAATATATGTTTAGTTCTTTTCATTAATTATTTACATTGTGTGATGATGACTTAATAAAAATTACAATGCATTTACATCTACTTGTAGTCCAATATTTTGCCCACCTCTTTTAAGAAGCTTTTCCATATCAAAAAAACACCATATAAATATACCAGTTATTGTTACTAATTCGTTATAATTCGGTACAGTGCAGTTTTATACAAATTACCATAAATGTTGGGCACTGTTAAATCAAGTAGTATTTAGAAGCTCTGCACTGACGACTTTAGTATTTGAGTATACATTGAAAAATTTACTGGAAATTAAACAGATTTGTATTAAAAAAATTTGGATTACCTAAAACTCGTCTAGAAATTTACAAATTTAAATATTGGGTATAAAGTACGTTGATATATTAAATAAAAAAGTCTTGCAAATGGATATTTTATAAAAAAATATCAATTCTATATTTTTTTATTATTTACTTTCAAAATAAAAACAATTTTTGTTCATCCAATACTTCTTTTTCATTTGAAAACTAAAAGAGTTTCTACGAGTTAGCGATGTTACCTGCCGTTTAACATTTACATAGTAGCTTTGCTGATCGTTTCCAGTGTGTTAATCGATAAACAGCTTTGAACTCTGCGGCGGACAGTTTTAATGTATAGATAATATGTATGTATATACAAGTATATATTTGGATATGTGTAGAAATTGCAATGTGATATTGACAATATGACAGGTGATGTGCGAGAGACCCAAATGCGACCCTCGCAATGGCGGCGATTTGGCTTAGTGTCATCATGCCATGTAAATGAACTTTTAGGAACTTCTTGTTGGAAATTTTTCCACACAAAGGTGCAGCTTGTCAAACTCGTAGTGGAGTCAATATATTGAAACGGAACAAAATGCTGTGTTGGTGGATACGTACGGCGACAAAATCGATGGCAGTAAAGTGTAGAGACAAAAATATGAAAGGAACGGCATTTGTTAAAAGCATTTTGCAACAGAGTCTTACACTGCAATAATTTTGTTGCCGCAGCGTGGTTCGCTCTTTTAATATTCATATGTATGTAAATATTACAGATTTCAGCGTTAGCATTGAATTTCTTTCGCCCACATTTATTACATATTTTCACATATGTACAGGTTGGTTGTAAAGTTTCTCACCAAGAAATAGCACTACTAGCTCCAAATGTTTTTTTCTCAAGTTGATACATCTGCCATGAGAGCCATTATTTCTTTGTTTACAAGGCATTTGAAGTTGACGTTTCAGAGTATTATTTTAATACGGAAAACATCGAATATCGCGCAGTGATTAGATTATTTGTTTTGAAAGGTTTAAAAGCGTATTTATGAACAATTGTTAGAAGAGTAAAAAGAGTCCTCACCTTCAAAACGCACTGTTAAATTTAGGGCTGGTGAATTTAAACGTGGCGTACTAGGCTTGGAGGCGACGAAGGTCAACCAAAAACCAGATGCAATTTTGACTAAGCGTGAAATTGCTAATCTCAGACGAACGAGTACTTCATATTTTACATGGAGAATTACATATGAAAAAGCTGTTTGGATATTTAGTGCCGCACACGTTAACAATTCAACAAAAATTAATAAACTAAACATAATTGGGAGCGTTTTAAAGCTGGTATTTCAGCTTCAAAGCAGGTGAAGTCTCAACGATCAGCAAAGAAGGTTATGGCATCAGTTTTTTGTGCTGCATCTACAGAAAGGTAAAACAATCAACTCTGAATATTATTGCAGCCATTTGGATCAGATGGATTAAAAACTTCGTGAGAAAAGACCTGGACCAGCACAAAAAAATTAATTTTCGTATTTTGCAGAGCTTCCGGAAAGTCATTATAGGGATGGCACAAAATTATTGGAGGATCATTGGAATAAGTGTATTGAAGTTAAGGGAGATTATATCGTATAAAAAATATATTTCGTACCAAAAACAGTATTTCTTTTTCATTTCGAGCGCAGAAACTTTTCAACCAACCTGTATATGTACCTAAGTATATGAGAGTGAAGTCTTAGCAAAAATAAAAACTGTTTCTTTGGCGGCAAAAGCTCTTGGTTTACTGACCAAAGCATTGACCACTATCGTCGAATGTTCATTTTTATTAATTTTACTTATGGTGCCTCAATCTTTAATCACTAGAATGTCTAAGTCTATGCGTTCAGATAAGTTTGTATACATATTGTAAGTTAACGAAAAAGTCACAGTGAATCATTCGACCCGCTCACTTGGTGGCTGTAATAGCAACATTCTTGGTGTTGGTGATAATGATGTCCTGTCATAAAACAAGATAGGTATAATTGTCTACCACCCACCAACACCCTGACTGGCTAAAGGAACCCAGTCAACACGAACCAAGTGGCATTACGTCTACGCTGTGGAGAATCATTTTAAACGATTGTTTGCCTTCACTGAATAAGTACAAATCCCGATAGACATATATATACACACATACGCATGAATCCAACTAAATAGGCATTCATTTGCACAAACATTTATTCATTTAACAGAGATGTTGCCACCGACGCCACTTCGCTTGCTCTGACTCTTGCAGCAACTGCTGTGAGAGTTAATCAATATTTGCAAAACGTTGATGCTTGAACTTTCATGTGCACAAGCATACTTTATTTAAGTACAATAACATACATATACATATATATATGGTTTTCGACGATGAGTTAATCAGAAGAATTGGATTTATCTAAAACCAAACTACCAGTCGGAGGGGCGTGTGTCCGTTCGTCTGACTCTATTTCTATTTTGGAAAAACTTTGTAAAATAGGTAAAAGGGACCTGAACGATCGTAATCTTCAATTTTACTTTTTTATATAAAATATATACCTTTATATATATAGAAAAACCCTCCTAACATAAGCCACTATGTTGCTTAAAATTGTGAGAACAACCATTATACACCGGTTTCCCCGTTTCATTACTATAACTTTGTGTGGTAAACAAATATCTATATCTTAAAATTCTAAAGAAAGTAATATAAAATATATATTTTATATTTTATTGATTTACAACGTCATTTTTTTCAGTGAGCGAACCGTATTTTCAGCGTGGCAGTGTGTGTACCATTTCGACACTCAAGGGAGGGTGTATTAATGCAGGTTTTATTTTTTTGCTTGATTCAAGTGCATTTCAACATTGAGATATATCTACAAACTACACATCTACTTTACAGTGTAAAGTCCCGCCTATAAAGCTCTTTTCTAAGTGTAACGTAGGCGCTCTTATATTTGTTCTCTCTTAATGTTTCTTATATACTCATTATCCCATGCAATATAAGGAAGGTTAGTGGGGAAATCTATAAGAAGATGGTAATGAAATAAACAACACTGGGACACGCTTTGCGCAACAAGTTAGGTAGTGCTCTTCTTAGGCTCAATGGAAATTTTCTGTGACGAATGAGTAATAAAAAGAAAGATGAGAAAACGATTCTATGGGTATTTTATATACATATATACATTACAATTACAGTACAACTTTGAAAAGCCTTCTTCGCACTCCATGCTTTTGGACAAATTGAATATATACGACTCACAATTTGTAGGATAATTTGCCATATGCCCAATACAACGTTCCATGCAAATTTTTTGCTTCCAATAATGTCTCGTATTCGTTTAAAACGGTATTAAAATGAAGTTTTTCATGTTATTTTTGTAATAAAGTTTCGACTACATTCGAATTTTTCTCTTCCTGCTTGTTTTATTTAATTATGTATGGGTAAACTTTAATTCTAACCGTTGCCAAGTAATGAAATGTTTGGCAGAAAGCAGCTTATGAAAATCTCTACAATGTTGGTAATATACTTATGTATAATTATAAGAATACTATGTTAGGGACCACTTAATTTCAGTCTTCATATTGATACCATTGTTTTGAGGGCAAAAGGTGTTCTTAGTTTTGTTATAAGGAAATTGGAGATCTAAATATTAATAAAACTTTCCGATAAGATTTCAGGTTAAGCTGACCTACATACACTAGTCGTTTAAAACTTATAAATCAAGCTATAATTTTTAGTCGTTTTGAGTTCTTTTATTTTGTTTGAAGATAAATTTAATATTCTAGCTCGCTTTTGAGACAGTTTAAACCCTTTTTGTTTAAATCTTGCAGAACAAATTTGAATCTAAACGAACCTCTTTGCTGCATATGCCATGACTTTAATTCTAATTCTTACACATTTCATGTATCTGACTTACTCATCAAATTTAAAAAGACTATATTGCTTTCTATAAATAAATAAAATCGTAACAATTTATTAGACGTACTTTTAAATGTTAGCTGTTGAAATTTTTGTTTCTGTAGCTAAGCAGTTTTAGATCTAGACGCTTAAAACACGCTCGACCCTTTTAAGCATGCCCGCGGTTGGCGGGAGGAGGAACTACAAAAATTTTTACCATTTATTCCTTGCATAGCTAGTTTTTTTATAAATAATAATATTTGCGTCCCGCGGCTAATACATATAATATATATAAAATGCCTTTAAATCCGTATCACCTGAACCATACGAGTTTACTGTATACTGTATTAATAAAGCAATATTTTGGTGCAATCTTTACAGATGGTAAAGCAGAAGAATTAGATAATTCGACCACACTTTTGGTATCGACAAAATCTTTTCAAATTGAGTCAGCAGAAACTCAAAATAATGGAGAGGAGCCGTCAGATGCCACTCGCACAAAAAAAGCTTTTCATGAGCTAGCTTTAAATGCACAGGAGGTAAGAGTTCAAAATTTTTATATATGGTAAACATACATACAAAGGACATAAGATATTTATTATTGAAAACAAAATATATTTTGTACGAAATGTGAAAAAAAATGTTTGGCAGATCATACATTTCTGTTTGTAAAACAAATTAGAAAATTTGGAAATCGAAAAAAGTTATTTTGGCAAATTTGTTGAAAAATTTCAAAATGTAACATTTAAAAAGCGAAAACCGACAAATTGGGGTTTTCTGGTTACCACCACCAACAAGAATGCGTAAAATCATTTGAAATTAGATATTGAAATGCACACCACAAAGGAAAACAATGCGGGCTAATATTGCAAAATATTATGTTATATTAGTTGAGAGGGTCGAAAATTGATAACCTATGGAAATGTTCCGAACAAATGCATTACAGTGCCTTTGTAGGCTTTATAGGCTATATCCTCGCATGATATACTCGTATAATGTCTTGATATTTATAATATGTATAGAAACATCGTTTTAGCATTTAACTTTGAGAGGAAAATTTATGCTTGAGTATATTTTGCAAGCTGGAAAAAACGAAGAACGTATCGAACGGGAAGTAGACGGGATCGTTCAAAGCCAAATATGAAAGCTCATTGTCACCAGACGGTGTTTGTTGTTGTTTCTTTTTCATTTACGTCCTTTACAAGGGCAGTGAGTATAGGTAAAAAGCGGCATGAAACTTCGACCGAACACATTCAAGTAGGTAATGGCGTGTGGAGTTTGTAAAAGAGCATTAAAAACGCAAGGCACTTGAAAAAATATTTTAAAAAATATGTACGTGCACATAAATGAGCAGATGAGAGAATAAATTTGGATGCACAGGTTAAAAAAGCCCATTACAGGCTGTAGGACAAATCGAAAGAAACATTTCAAACGGTAGTAAATTAATTTGGTGATTGAGTTTTTAAATTTTATATTGCAAAATGAGCTGATACATACTATGTAGATATTATACTTTTATACTTCTATTCCCGACTGCTATAGTGTTGTTTAATCGGATGTTATGTATGTAGATATCTTATGGTCCTTGAGTGAGTCATTTTTGTTGGAAAGCGGCTTCATTGCAGCACAGTCGGATTGAGATCTACTAAAGGACCTTGAACAGGGTATATTAGGTTTGCAACGAAGTTTGCAACACCCCGAAGGAAAAGTCCGATACCTTATAAAATATATAAATCTATATATGTATTTGTATATACATGTATGTATATAAATAATCAGCATAATGAGCTGGGTCGATTTGGCTATCTCAGTTTGGGGTCCTTCTGTCTGGCTGTACATATAAAAACTAGTCCTTCAGTTTTTGAGATATCGATCTGAAATTTTGCACACGTTCTTTTCTCTCCCTAAGGAGCTGATCATTTGTTGGAACCGCCGATATCGGGACTCTATAACATATAGCTGCCATACAAACTGGAAACATTTATTTTTTGACGAGGTCTTTTCACGAAATTTGGCATTAGGTATTGTTCAAAGTAACAATACAATCTCCGTAGAAATTGTTGAGATAGGGTCACTATAGCATTTAGCTGCCATACAAACTAACCGATCAAAACCACTGTCCTGTAAGGAATATTTTGTATTGTTGATGGGTATTACAACTTCCGTACAACTAAGTTAACGTTTTTTTCTAATGTTTTTTTTTTAATTATTCACAATTGCATCAAAATGTGATAGCCTCAGTATCATTTTAACGAGATAGCGACTTCAGCGTTTCAAGCGACAACTACATCAATTGTACTTTAGTGATTCATTAATTTGAAATCAGCTTCTTTGTCAGTAAAATTCCTGATTTTCAATTAAGATTACAAAGTTTTGTGAAATTCGAAATCTAAAATAGTTTTAATTCTTGAAGAATATTATGCACTGTGTTCAAATGCTTTTATAATTTTATTACTAGCTCTACAGAAATCTTCGTATATGTTGGTCTAAAAATTTCTGTTTACCCCAATGTACAATAGTAATATTATCTACCACTTCACTTTCAGGCAGCTCCCCGAAATATAGAAATTAAAAGTGACTCTAAAGAATGTAAGGAGCATTCTATCCACCAACACCAAACTCAGAAGCAACAGAGGGAAAATCTTCACGCTACAGGAGAAATTAGAGAGGGCAAAGCTTTGAGTAACAATAACAAACGGACCCCGTCACCAACAACGCCACAAAGTCATCCACATTTGGGGCCTACAGCGTTTCAAGAACATGAGTTATCATCTCCACCCGTGCCACCAGCTCCACCGCAAAATTCACCCATCGATTATTGTCGAACAACCAGTATCTCAAACATGAGTGCATTTGCTTATGTATCACCATCAACGACGCAATTAAAAGCTCCGACGTCAGCGGCTGCTGCAGCGGCAGCGGCTGCAGTTGCGGCGGCGGCCGCAGCAGCTGCTGCGTCAATACGCACGAACAAAAATCGCATTATGGAATGTGACCTCATACCAAGCAGAAAATCGAAACGGAAATCGAACCCCATTTCGGGAAAGTGGCAAAAAGACAATGTGGGAGGCGAAGCGAGCGACAGTACGAGGGAGAAGAGGGTAGGTATGCTCAGGGCTTCTCTGATTACACTAGTTTTGCGACTGTGATGTTAGCGGCTGTTTCTAGCTAATTTTGGGTTGCTGAAACCCAACATGACAGTAGAAACTTCCTAACATGTAGTATTTACTAAAATGAAAAAATATCTGTAAGTGATGGAATATTTTTATCTCAAATTCGGGCTTTTGAATAAGAATTCTAAACTTAGCTCAACAACAAAGTTTTGTTATACAACGCGGTAATGAAGCCGCTTTTGATATATGGTATTCAGCTGCAAGTAGAACCTTGAGCTTGTCTAGTTTTAATTAGATTTAAGATTTAATTACTTATTGTTACGCTTTGAACAAGCTGATTCATTAAATAAAGATATATAATATTAACACAAACAAATCGTAATCAGGACACCTCTTAGCACATCAGTCGGAATTTTTTCCTTTAGATGTGTTGAGTGGTGTTATTTATAAAAGGCATCGTAATATTTGAATTTATCGAAAACACGGATTTTGGGTCTCAGTTTTGCCTTATAGGCTTTATTATATAATTTATTTATTTTATTCTGCACACATAGCGCTATTATAAGATGTATTCTCCTAGTTTTATTGGTTGTGAATTTTTGTATTTTTTATACGCCTTTTCTTATTGGTCTGAAATCAAGAGCTCAAAATAATGATGCTTACTTAGAATTATTTGTAATATTTTTTAAAGCTATTTTTATCAATATTTGATTATTTGAAAATGTTAATATCAGTTTGAGGCACATAATATTTAGAATTTGATTTACTAAGGCCAATATTTATTCTAAGCAAAATAAATTTACAGATTTTAGTATTTACTATCATATTTGTCATTAAACAGGATATGACTCCTCTGCCTGGATTCCAACAAGCCTTTGGTTCCACTGAAATCGGTCGATTTTTCGAGACATTTCTATTGAGTCCGCCGGACTGTCAGAGCTTCAATGACAACTACGAGCCTTTAGATGTCGAGGAACCATGGCAACCAGTTCACCAACATCAGCAACAACAGCAATACCAATCACAAATTAAACAGGATCAGGAACCACATGAACTTAATCAGTTACAACAATACAAGCAACAACAGCAGCAACAACAACAACAATATGCACAACAAGAGTATATTAATCGGAGATATGCAGATAATAATTACCAATCGCTTCATCAACGACTGTATCCCCACTATCCACATCCGCCACTACATCCCTCTCACCCGTACCACCGAGGGCAGTCGTACCCATTCCCCATCAGTGCTAACAGTAATCACCGCGATGTGTGGATGTACGGCCGCCACGCCCTCAATCCTTATGTGATGCCTTTGGAATATGGTGCTGCCAGATCGGCAAGCAGCTCGCCCTCGTCGCCTTATCAAATGCCTTTCAATTTGAGATCAGGTTACGGCTCCGCATACGATGGGAGAGGTTACAGTTATGGGCGTATGAATGGTAGTTACAGTGGAATACGATGTAACGGTTATTAAAATAAATTGGTATCGTATGTTTTATGTGAGGAAAAAATCGTTAAAAATAATTACAGAGAAATTAAAAATTAAAAATATATAAAGTCAAGTGATAAGTTAGTTCTTCATGCATATGTACATAGGATCACTGAAATGATCAGGTGAAAAGTTAATACAAATATGTGCCTTTTCGGACAAAATTCTGGAACGTCGTCTTCAGTTCAAAATAACAGTATGCAAACAATTTGATCAAAATTAGAAAAAAATTAAAGTGTATATACATATGTGGAGATATTACACGAAAAATGCAATTGAATTTGCTTTTAATCTCTAAAGTATACAAAAATATCAAAATAAACCAAAATTAAAATAGTACAACTGAGAAAAAATACTAGTAAAGAATATTGATTACGAAATTTATTTAAAAGAGTGCAAAATTTTTTAATAAGCTTCGAGTAAACAAAAGGAGGGAATATTGATACTTACGTACATATTATATATAATTTTGGAAATGGAAATATATTCCATTTCAGGATAGAAAACGAATTGAAAAAACAAATTTTATATCATTTGAAAATGTCCGTCTGTTGTTAACAATAAATAAATAATATTTGACGAGCGAAAACGTATAAAGTCGCCATTTCTTTGAAGATTACTTCACAAATGAAGGGTTACAGACATGAATATGCACATTTATTAAACAAAATTTAAACATTATACTACATACTTATTAGCATTAGAAGTAAAACTAAATAAAAAAAACTTTGTCTGTAGGGCTTACATTAAAAACAGGAGGAAACTGGAGCAAAAGTCAAAAGTAAAAAATTTCAGCAGCAAAATAAAATAAATTTTTAACTTAAGTAAACTCATATGATCATGAATGTGCCATTTAAATATTTAATTATCGAACAATATTATACTCCAACTTCTCTAGACAATTGAAAGTAGTAAAATTTATGTGAATTTAAGTGTAAATGAAGGACATGCAGTTTCATATGTATGCGTTTGCATGTACATCAATGACAAACGGAAAATTTAAAACGAAAATTGTTACAAAGAAAAGAATTTATATATATATATATGCGTATATGTACCATATGTATGATTGTATTTATTTGAGTTTATTACTTTTTGTAATATTAATTGCATAAGATTTAAACGAATTTTTTAAAATATAAATATATTTTTAACTTATCTACTTACTCATACATTTGCAACTATTCATTCTTTTAGTTTTCTTGAAAAAAAAATCATGTTTTAGTGGAAAAAAACTGTTTTTCGCCCTAAATCTTGTGTTTTCATCCATGTAAAATCTGTCAAACGAAATCAAATTGATACCCAGTTTGCTATGAAAACTAAGAAAGAAGTAAAAGAAGTTTCCATACAGGAACTTGATTTTGATTGTTCAGTTTATATAACAGCTATATGTTATAGTGGTTCGATATTGGAAATTTTTAAAATATTATACTGTTTCTTTGAATAATAATCCATGCCAAAGTTATATGCTTTAGTGGTCCGATATCGACGATTCCGACAAATTACCAGTTTTTTGGAGAGAAAAGGTCGCGTGAAAAATTTCAGATTGATATCTCAAAAATGCAGGTATATAGTTCATGTATATGGAGACAGACGTTGATCATTTATATATATTTTTGTAGGGTCCCCGACGTTTCCTTCTGAGTGTTATAAACTTAATATACCTTGCTCAAGGTATACAAATCTGATTCCGCATATCGTAATTTTCTTAGTGCCCTTTCACTGCGCATCGACTATGGGGTTGATGCGTTTCAAAACAAAATGCAATGGCAGAAATATTTCAGATGCCTTATAGAACATTATACTCGTACTTTGTTCATAATGGAAAACAATGCGAATATGTGATTCACATCCAAATCACGACCGATATGTCCATACGTAAAGGGTATTCTTGCGTTCATAACCTTCGCCTTGGTGCTCATATGAGAGGTTCTAGAGTTTAGAAGACCATTTACGAATGATTGGAATGCCTGGCACAGGATCACACTATTCAAGCCCTATGAGAAACAATTTGTTTTTGATCAAAAAATTATGTTTCATTAACAGACGAATTTCTTTATACAAGTTGGCTGCAGAAAACGTAGAAATTGTAATTTTTCTGAAAAAATTCTTGATGCACGATGTTTATTTTATTAATAAATTAATTCGTTTTCATTTCTTTTGTACTAATTTTTGAATTTAAGTGAGAATTTGACGTCAAGTTGCCGCTTTATTCAGGAATACCGTGACGGCGTTAACGCTGCGCGGTAAAAAACGCGCTGATCAACTATTTCATTTAGCTATGCCAGTTAGGAATTATTACTAAAAGACATTTTGTAGCAACACGTCGTTAATACATGCATCCGAAGCAAAACCATTTACACGAGCATTAAGTAAGTCATGTCACGGAATATTGTCTAGCAAAATGTCTTTAAAGAAAGGGTTGGACATAACACATTAAAAAAATAATTAAATTAAAATATTTTTATTTTGTAATCCAGAAAATCTGAATTAAATCTGGTTAAATGAGTCTGAGCTCCAACACACCATCCCACACATTCCACAACAAAACACCCCGCATGATTATGCCACGCACCAAGCCAACAACCACGATCACACCACACCAAAGGAAGCAAAAGGTAACGACGAGCAACCCCAACGCTCTCTTGCGCAACGTCATCGAATTCATACACACGATATGCACGACCCCCTTGCCATTCGTAACAATCCATCTTACTGGTTTTTAATCTAATCTAATTGATTTTGGTTTTAAACAAAATTGTGAACTCCATTTTCGGAAATAAAGGTGTGCCACTTGAAGTGAAATTTAAACAAAAATTGCAGACAGTTCAATTTTTTAATAAAAGTGTTAAAAGGTGACGTGTAAGTTAAAACAACCGGAGCGATACGTCTTTGACGCAGTTCTGAGTAAAAAAACCCATTCCACATCTTTAAATAACGGTGCCCATTAACAGTTACTGTTACACCGTTTTCTTCAAAGAAGTATGGCCCGACAACACACCTTGATGAAACCGCACACCACATAGTGATTTGTTCTGGGTGAAGTTCCGTATCGTGGATTATTTCTGGATTTTATTCGCTCAATATACGGCAATTTTGCTTGTTTACATTTCCGTTCAGAGCAAAATGGGGCTCATCAGACATAAACTATTTATTAAATTATTATGTTCTTCGGCCATTTCAATAATTTTCGGCAAAATTTCAGGCGGAAAGGCAAATCTAGATGATTTAACCGACTGCAATACCACCATGCGGAACTGCCAAATAAAAAAAAAAGAGTAATTACTCTCACAGAAAAAAGTTATTACGGTTTATTTTTGTTGGGCGATTCGTGCGCCATGCCGTTATATGGGAAAGGACGATTATAGATCGAAAATATTTGCTTTTTAAGCAATTATAGCAATTTGACCATTTTTGATTTTAGCGCCCATATAAGGTCGGTCTTCGCGAGATGTTGCCGTCAAAAGAGACGGAAGACTACGGGAGATAGTATGTGCTTGCAAATTGCAGATAAATAATATGTTTCATATTTTTGTTTTCTGCAACAACCAGTACAAAATGCCTTCGAGAAGCTGTAAACGCGACGCTGAATTGAAGATTTGCGACGCATATCAAGCATACTTCAATCTACCTGTTAAAAATCAGGACAAAAAAAGGGGCTCTACATGTGTCATATAACTGTTGGAGATATCCTGGATGGTGAGTTAATTAGCTCTTTTTTATAATAATTTGTAACTATTTTGATAGCATTTATTAGGTTATGTTTTAATATGTTACGTTTTAATGTAAGCTGGGACAGAGGTGAGAAAAGAGCAATGAAATCTGCAGTGCCGAGAATTTAGAGGGAATCAGATGATCATCTTTCAAATATTTGAAGATTGATTTTTTTTCCAAAGCTTTCAAAGTCGGAATCTTTGTAGGCGCATAAATAAAACAATTATGGATTGTGATATTTTACCGGAGTTACTTATCAATGAGAAGAAAAAAGCCTGAAACAGTTTTAAGGCAGTGGTCCATAGATTCCTTGGCAAATATACAGTATTAGGGACTATATTTTTAGGGGCTAATACGAGGAAATTCTACGGAACATGACAGGAAAAATAAAACTGTATATTTATAAAGATTTTGAGTCTTTTGTAAAAACGAATCCTAAATGGATGATTGGTATCTTTTAATAAATTCTTTATATAAGTATGTAAACTTTTTTTGTATTTATATTGAGTTGGATTTTTCTTATTTTTTATACATAAAAGCATATGCAGAGGTATAAAATTGAGGTATAAAAATATAAAAATAAGGTATGTATAACTCGTCCGAAAAACTGATGTTGACCGGTGTTATCTAAGATGTTGAGATTAAAAACTGAAAATATAATTTTTAATTTAATATTTTTAAATAAAGAAAGTTCGCAATCCTTCTTAGCGGTATATTATTTGACTGCGTTTAGTTTTGTTTTTATTTCCGAATAAATTTTTTTCGATAAACATCGTAACAATTATAAAATTTGTGATTTATGTACATAGGTATATATATAACTATAAATATAAATTCAGGTTTCCAAGAACTGCGTAACATCCTTGAAGTTCACACAACACTGATTTCAAATATAGGAATTTTTCCGACAATATACAAGTATTTTAATTAATCTTTTCTTTTAAATATTTCTTCCAAATGTCAAAATACAAACAAACTCGTCACGAATTCGAGGTATATGTATGAATTTAAATGAAATAATAAAAATACAAATTTCGAAAACATCGTTTATGTTCAAGTATTTGTTCAATGGGTGATTACTCTCGGCTTCTCAGCTTAGTGTTTGCCTCTAGTTCCTCTCTTTTGCATAAGGCTATGAATGGGGTGTGGAGCATCTTCAGCTTCTTCTTCCAATTCTTCTAATTCAGCGAAGAATTCCTTAGTTATATTCCGCATTTTATTTGTCATTATTGTCGGATATTCGACTAAAAAGAACAAGCCCATTAGGATTAATCACATAAACTTTAACTATATGCATATACACATACATATGTATTTAAAGACTAGATTTATTTTTTGATCGCAAACAATCAATACAAACCTAACGTTCTTCAAAGAAAGTGTGTTCTGAACCCACAATCTTTTGTATCATAACTGAATAAATTGATACTAATTTGCACAAAGCCTTTAACACTTATTTCCGAATAAAGCAAGGAAAATGTGATGAAAAAGGTTTACAAATTTAAAATTTATTAAAATCTTTTAATACAAGTAACTTGAACTTTAACAAATTAAATTAAATATTCCGCAGAGAAAAAGTCGAAAAAACGATGTTCACTTTGCAGGTTAACGATGACGGCGGACGATCGAAAAGTTGCATACAGGAGCTTTCGTATCAAAAATGTTGACTTGGCGCTCAGGCCTGTGGACGAAACGAATGATATATAGCGAATGAGAATGGTATGTTGTGTTGTCCTGTGTGGTGTCATCTGGTGCGGTGTCATCTGGTGTGGGGTGAAATTCCTTGAGTGTTCACAGGTGTGGTGAGTTTCATTAAGGTGTGTCAGTTTTTCCCGAGTAGAGCGGTGCACTTGGAGGAGGGAGTTAAAACTCATTTAAACATCCTGGGCCCCCTAGGCGAATATTTTGCCTAGTATTACACGTATATGCTTATATTGCATGTATTTCGGCGTACTGCTGGTTGAGTAGCCGAGGGCGCGGCATACATGGTGATATAGTTATATCCATATTTACGTGTATGGGCAGAACGCATATTCGGTATGCATTTTGCTGTGCGTGCAAAAGATATGTAACTTAATTTTGCGGGTTTTGAGGTTGTATGTGCTTTTCATACTTATTGTATTGCGGTTGTTTCTTTTATAATTTTATTATCTGTATTGTTTGTTGAAAATTTCTTTACCATCGGTTTATTACGGTTAGCGACTCCACGCCTGGCTCAGATATGGCCAGAATGGGTGCTCCTTTGAAACCTTGAAGAGGGATCTTGCGAGAGTGAGATTTGTGATTTTCACTCACTTTTTTGAAGTGAGATTTACAACTTTTACAAATGTTTCCCATAAACTACCCGTTTGATGAGCGCTTAGATAGTTTCGATAAGTGCGACCTTTGCTTTTTGTGAGTCTGGGTGCGACACTGTATCACATTGTAAATATGGTGATCCCTTAACTTTATTTTTGAAGTTTTATACATTATAAAAATGTTGTCAACAATCAGGCACTATAGAGGTGTCGATTTTTCGGCTTTCTTAGGACAATTTTGTTATATGTTATGTTAAGTGCGATTTTAGCAAGTAGTAGCGCGCCACATAACTCAAGATTTTTGAAGCAGGATTTTTGTATCATTATTGGCTGGAGCCATCCTGCGGGGTCGAAAAGTTACATATTTGTGTTTTTAAACCTGATCTTTTCAGAAAGGACTCTGACTTGATTTTTTCTGCCAATTCGTGGAGTGTTGGAACATTGGGAATTTAGTGGTAGTCGTATGACGTACCGACCATTATTTGATCGAGTAGTTGTGGCTTTGTAGAAGTCTTTACAATACTGATCTTCTGGGGTTTTAATTGATATGAGGATTTTTTTCTAACTCCCGAAATTTCCTTGATTGTGAATTAAGGTATTCTTTTGAATTTTCGTCAACTTGAGTTGTTGATGTGGAAACTGGTTCAGTAACTAGTCCACTTAGAATCCAACCGAATATAGTTTTTTGGGCTAGAAGGGTCGTTGAAATTTTTTCAACACCTTCAAGCATTATTTGTGGTATAAGGTCGCTGCCTACTATTATATCTATTTGAGCGGGGGTATTGCAGTTGGGATCTGCTAGCTTCAGGTGTGAAACCTTTTGCCAATGCTTGCTATTTGTATGATAGCTTGGAAGCATATTTGTTAGCTGCGGTAAGACTATAGCTTCTGCTTTAATTCTCTTATCCGCTTGGGGGGAAATTAGGGTAATGGGGCAGATATTATTTGAGTTTTGGACTACTCTTCCGCCCATTCCCGTGATTTCAAAGTTGGCTTGTTTTGTTGGCAGTTGTAGCCTATTTTGTACCCTAGACGCTATGAAAGATCGTTGTGATCCTTGGTCTATTAAGGCCCTAAGTTTAAACAGTTCTCCTCGGTGTTCGATGGAGATGACTGCTGTGGGTAGTAATGCCCTATTTTGTATTTCGCTGTGTAGCGTTTGAGTATTTTGTGCCTTTGAGCAACATGGTGTCATTAGGCAATTTTCGGTATTGTGGTTTTCGGGATTTGTAGTTGAAACTAAACCCGTGGTTCTTTTTATACTAATATATGCACTCTTTTGGGGTGAGCTGGGCAATGTGCTGTAGTGAAGCATTGTGTGATGTCTTTTTCGACAGTAGATGCAATTGAATTTGCTTTTACAATTTTTATGAGTATGCGTATGTGACAAGCAATTTGTACATAATCTTTTTGTTCTTATAAAATTGTTTCTCTCGCAAGATTGTAGTTTATGCCCTCTTGTGCATAGTTCGCATGACGTATGCTTATTCTGTTCGGATGTGAACGATTGCGTTTTGTAAAATCTTCTGAGGAATTTGTTTTTGCTACTAGCTTGGGGTCTATTGAAGCTTCTTTTTAGGTCGTTTTGAACAATTTTTGTTTTAATTAGTTTTTTATCTACCCTTTCAGCGATTTCGTACTGGGTAGTTAGAAAGTCTTTCATTTGTTGCCACGTGGGGCATTTCTTTCGTGATGAGAGCGATTGCTCCCATAAAAGTAACGATTTTTCTGGTAATGCGGCAGTGCATATGTTTACCAGTATAGGGTCCCAGCTGTCTGTGGGAATATTTTGTGTCGATAAAACCGACAAACAGTTTGAAACAGTGGATTGTAGTCTTATAAACTCTTCACTGGTTTCTTTTTGAATCTTAGGCAAGTTTAATAGTGTCGTTACTTGGTTATCGACCAATATTCTTTCATTTTCATATCTGGATTTTAGAGCTTCCCAAGCCAAATTAAAATTGTCGTCATTTAGTGCGAACTGTTTTACTATTGCGCCTGCTTGACCTTTAGTTTTGAATCGGACGTGATACAATTTTTGCGCTTTTGATAATTTTGGATGGTTGATGTATACGGCAGTGAACATGTCCCGGAAGGACGGCCATTCTTCATAACCTCCATAAAATATTTCTGTGTCACATGCGGGCACCTCGAGATGGATGCCCGAACTTGCCTCTTGACTTTGAATTTGTGGCAGCTCTACTCTCGGATGCGGAGTAGGTGCAATCGCTTTTATTAGCTTTAATTGATCAGAAATCATAGCTTTTGTTTCTTCATACTGGTCTAAGCAGTTTTCGTATAGTGCGTAAGCCGATAATTTAAAATCGTGTGGTAGATCTGAATTGTCATAATCTACTATGGCGTCATGAGCCGTTTGGAGACGAGTCCAAAAATTGTCAATATTTTGTTTTTTTATTTCCAATAACGATTCAGAGATGTCTTGAATCGGTGAAGATGAAAATCGAGCGCAGTATCGTGTTAATCTGTCACTCTCAGAAATGAATTTGGTTGCACAAATATTTTTGCCTTTTGTTTGCTTTGTGGTAACCTGTCTTGCGCGTGTAGCTTCTGCAGGTGTAATTTGAATTTTGTCCACATTCATCATTTTTTTTTGTATGTTAAAATATTTGTCAAAATTTATTAAAATTTTCTCAGTGTAAACTGTATTTGCTAGCAATATGATTTTGTTGTGGTTTTATTTTGAATGTATTGCTTTAATTTATTTAATTATTAAAAATCGCACTTTTAATTCAATAATACTTTTTATGTCCTTATATTGATGTATTTAGGTACACCCTAATAAACGGACTTGTTAGTATATATTTATGTGCTCGTAAAATTGAGAGCTTGTTGAAGAGATCAATTGGTTGTGCGTATGTATGTATACTTTCTAATGCAATTGAGAGCTCGTTGAAGAGATCAATGTGCTTTTAGTTTTTTATGTATGCAATCCTGCTTGTTTGTTACAAGGGGTATTGCGGGGTGTATACCAATGTGGACTTTGAAAATATGTACAACTATAATTGTATATGTTTTAATATGTATATATATTTAAATATTATTTTTGTTTGTGTGCAATTGAGAGCTCGTTAGAGAGATCAATGCGTTTTTGTTTGATTCGCAATCCTGCTTGCTTGTGTTTTAACAAGATCAAGAGGTTTTGCTTGAATAGATGTACATATGCGTATGTATATATAATATATTTATATATATATATATTTTTTTTTTTTTAAGAGTTTGTTTGTTTTTTTGTTTGCTTTTTAATAAAAAATAAAATTAAGGAAATTTTATTTCACTTTGTTTATTCATTCGCAATTTAAAAATCACCTTTTAGTGAATGTTTAAAATTTTAATAATTTAATATTACCCAATGTTGAGTATGGTATAAAAATATAGGTAGATTGTATGCCGTATGTATGTATAAACTGGGCTTCTATATTTTGCAATAGAAAGAGAGCGCGAAAAAGGAATTGATAATGTGCAGGTATTCTCCGTATGCACATATATGGATGTAAATATTTACTTGGTTTTTTAAAATATATAAATATGTCGTTTGTATTTATTTTGTTTCTTCTTCTTTGTCTTTAAAATTTTTGTTATATGTTTGTGCCTTTGCTTACTTATTTAAGGCAATCCTGCTTACTGTTTTTGTTAAAAATAAGGGGTATTGCCGGAAAATATTTGCAAGTAAATACTTGAATTCTGTTTTTGTTTTTTGTGTTTGTGAAATATGTGTGTTTGAAAACACAAAGGTAAGCTTATAGGCATACAATAATTATTTACATAATATATATTTGGATATATAAGTATATTGTACCAAACTGGTTTTAATGTCAGCGGTATTTCGATTTGTACCGTGATCTATATTAGTTTGGTAATCTTATTTTATATTAGTGTATAAAATAATAAGTGAAATAAATACGCTCACTTTGGTTTTCCTCAAGGGGCTTTTGGAGGGCCTATATATGTATATACAAGTTACGTGCTTGTGCGTTTGTCCCAGTGTCTGTCTTCTTCGGCATTTAGCTGGCTAGCTCCTTATGCGTGTTTGTTGTTTGTATTTTTGTGGATAAATTTGCTCGCGCCCGAATATGTGTTTTTGTTTAGATTTTGTTGTATGGTGCATTAGTTTCGCGCTCAATTTATGTATGCTTTTAGTTTATTTCAGTTTTCGCGCTCGATTTGTGTTGTATTAGTTAGTTGTTTAAGATGTTTAGCAAATTTTGCACTGTATATTTATGTATTTGTTATTTTCACCGCACTTATTTTTGTCACAGCACTTCAACCTTTTCGATAAGTTATATATGTATGTTTATGTTTATTTTGTTTGGTTCGTATTTGGTCACTGTGTATATTTAACTAAATTTTTTTTTTTTTTTAAATGTTTTTTCACTCCATAGTGCCTCTCACTATGGCTCGAAGGACCATGAATAAAGTAGAGCGGTGCACTTGGAGGAGGGAGTTAAAACTCATTTAAACAATAACAGACCGGCGTTCTAAGCTGTACAAGTGAGATCCCTATTAGGATCGACATCTTAACCTAATCTAACCTAATTGATAACCCTACCATCAACTTATATCTATCAAATTTTGTTATGTTATTTTTTAACGATTATGTTGGCAAATACATATGCATATCACATGTGATGTTTGGAGTGAATTTCAAACGATAGATCATAGCCATACGAGTATCCATTTTTTTGCTTACCTTGAAACTTTATTATCAGATCTCCGAATTTCTTTTTCTTCAACCCAGCAGGTCTCATGTCAGGAGCGATTGGTAAATTTTCACATACTGGAAGTCCCTCCTTTGGCATAGTTTTCATATAGCCAGGATATACCACATCGGAAACGTTTATTTTCAGAGCACGCTTATCTAATGTTCTAATTGTGAAGCTAAAGCCAACAAGTGCGTCCTTTAAAGTTATGTTATGGGTATAGACTAAATCATGATGGTGGCTACGTTCGAATAGAGGATGTGGTTTATCAGCTGTTATAAATATAATATCTGCTGGGATTTTCGTGGGACAGCGGTCACCCTCCTCATTGAAGCAAAATCGTGTGCCTTGGGTGGTGCCTGGTAGTATCTTGAGTTTAAGAGTTTTCTTCCTAACAACCAAAAATATAATATTTATAGACGTTTAAAATCGTTTGCATTGTCATCTTACCTTTTCTCTGTGCGTGTTTCCTTCGTGTCAATGAACTCTTGCCGCCAGACATGCATTAATTTCGTACAGCCTTTGAATACTTCTTCTAACTCCAAATAAATAATTTTCTCTACCGGCGGGTCTTTCTTACGTACTCCAATGCCATGTTCCAATGTAGAATAGAGCAAAGGTGGGTTTGTAACGACGTCGATGATATTTGCGTAAGGCGAGTAGCTGCCAAAAACGGCATGATATACTTTCATATGATCCCCATGATATTGATAAGGCGGAAAGTAACCGTTAGGCAATTGAATGCCCTGAAAGAGACCAACCTCACCGAAACGATCGTAGATGGCCCGATACAAATCGTTTCCTAGAATTGAACGTCATACAAATGTTGTGGCATAAATGTGTATTTTTCGCTGTTGCTCTTACCCAAAACATCATAGGCCATGTTAATATATTCCCATTGGCGATAAGATGACAACGGTTCCATGTGTGTTGGTCCCAAAAGAGGAACGAAGTCACGCTCATACTTTGGATCGCGATGGGGACACAGCTGTATGGCCAATTTGCGATACGCCAGCGTTATATTTTCCTTGGGCGCATCATGAGGAACATTTAATACTGCATAGTAATCAAGTTCTGAACGATTCATGTGGATTGATAATGGAATGCTCTAATTTGTTATGACAAACTAATTTATGCTGTCTATATTGAAGTTTGAATAATACTGTTCGGATACATCATTCAATTATATAAGGTTGTTTCGATACGGAGCGTGCTTTCTCTTACGAAAGAAGTGTCTGTATCCATAATGTCAAAAAAAAACCGGTTATTTGTTTTTAGGTATGACAAATTTAATAGGGAATGTTTATTATCATTCGAAAGAACATTCTTTGGCATTTATTTTTTGAAGGATATCTTTTTCAAATGTTGGCCGCGGCTACGTCTCAGATGGTCCATCCGTTGAGTCCAATTTTCGATGACTCATTCGAGCATTTCGACTGGTAAATGGCGAATGACACATGCGTGATGTTTTGCTTCAAGGCCTGAATCAAAGCATAGACTTTAAACTTTTCATATCATCACAGGAAAAAGTCTAACGGTGTAATATCACACGATCTTGGTGGCCAATCGACCGGCCCAAAACGTGAAAATATCCGCTCACCGAAGTATTCTCTCAATAAATCCATTGATTGATGCGTTGTGTGGGAAGTGGAGCAAGTTTCAGGCATCGAATATTCGGTTATAGTGGTGCGATAACGGTTGTTGTTGTTGTAGCGGAAGAATTCTGTCGAGTTGACAGTCCTTTGCCGGATAAAAATTCCGGTCCGTTCCGGCTATGTGGACCGACTGTCGTGGGAACGGCCAATTCGCGATATCGGTCAGCATTGACGGTTACGTTCTCCCCGGCATCATTTTTGAAGAAATATGGACCGATGATTCTAACGTCCCACAAACCACACCAAACCGTTGTTTTTTCTGGATGAAATGGCAGCTCTTGAATCTCTTCAGGGTGCTCTTCGTCCCAAATGCGGCAATTTTCTTTGTTTACATACCCATTGAGCCAGAAATGGGCCACATTGCTAAACTACATTTGGCTCGAAAACGTCTGTCGGATCTTCTTGGAACTTTTCAAGAGCCCATAGAGTTAAGTGATGTCGCTTGGGAAAGTCGAGCGGCTTCAGTTCTTGCACAAGCTGTATTTAAAATCAATGTCGATCCATACGTCAGTCCGAGTTGTTGCAAACGGCTCCGAATTGACTCTCCACGATCTTCGTGTACACTCACAATAATGAATGCTTGAGACCCAGCTGATCATGAATATACAGTTTTCAAGAAACGACTTTGAACTCAAATATAAGTATAGTAACATGTATTTTTTTTTTAAACGCACTGCCGGTATGGCCACAGAGAAACCATATTAACGTGAAAATAATGCTGTAGACGGAATATGTGAAAATGTTGTTTTGATGCAATTGCGGTAGCTTTTGCTAATTATGAATATACAAGTTACAAGAAAATATAATTTGAACCTAAGTATAAACATATGTATTTATGGCTTCTTGAAAACTCTATTAACCTGAATAATATTTTTAGCCTGAATCTGTGTAGTTGATGTTTTGATGCAATTGGGATAGCTTTGGCTGATCATGAATATACAGTTTTCAGTAATAATATGTAATTATTTCCAAACGCGCTGCCGTTATGGCCACTGATGGGTGATGGTGTTGCAAATAGTACGATCAGTAGGCCGATTATGTTGACCATAAGTTGAGCCAAACGCGCGAAAGACATTCTTTACAGAACGTGAACTTTCTTAATAAAGTTTAACGATTTGTAAACGTTGTTCAGGTGTAAGTCTTTCCATGATGAAATGCCAAATACTGAACAAAAATAACATGATAGCTTGACAAGACTTACGTGTGATCTGTCAAAAAAGCTTATTGAAAAGTACCTCTACTGGGATCACCCGTTATAAATGATCAGCGTGACGAGCTGATTTTATTTAGCCATATTCGTCCGTCCGTCTCTCCGTATATACGCAAACTAGTCCCTCAGTTTTGGAGATAAATATCTGAAATTTTGCACACGCCATTTTTCCTCAAAAAGCTGCTCTTTTGTCGGAACCGTCGATATCGGAACACTATAGCATATAGCTACCGTACAAACTGAACGATCGAAAGTAAGATATTATGGTATATGAAAAATTATTTTATTTGAAAAGATATCTTCACGGAATTTGGCATGGATTATTGTCCAAGGCAACGATATAATCTCCGAAGAAACTCCTCAGATCGGACCACTACAGCATATAACTGTCAAAGATAAATTCTTGTATGTAATTTTTTTATTTGAGAAGTGTATTATACATAAGTATGTACATACATAAGTATTGCAGTTTCGGTTCGACTGAAATTAATGTTGTTTTGTTTTTATTTAAATTTGAGGAACACAATATTATCTCATTTATATAATTTCTGCTGAGGTCTGATATACATCAGCAGCCCATCTTCGGATTAACAATGTGGGATTGGTGGAGTGTAGCATATACTTAGAGGCACTTCAGCCAACTGAAAGGAGGGTGCGGTACATCTATAAAATCATGTATGTAGCTACTTGAAACTGTTCGTAGTTATACATACCTATGTATGTATATCTCACCTAATAGAACCTTCATCGCTTTCGTTGAAACCTTTACAATAACTTATCGCACCTCTAAAGCAAGGGTTAGCCAGAGAAGTGGACTTTTCACGACGAATTAATGTGTAATTCGCCTTTTTTAATATAAATATTTACGAATAATGGTACAAAGGTGAAAGAAAAAACAAAGCAAATAGCAGAGAACGTAAATTATGGTTCATATGTATAATTTACGTTCTCTGCAAATAGTTTGAAATGGCAATATTATTTATATTTAAACTTGGCAGCACATTTTGTAATTTAATTAGCTAAGCAGATCAAAAACGGAAAAGTTTGTGAAATTTCTGTCATATGAAAATCCTATAAGTCCAAATCAAATATATTCGTGTTATAATATTTTATTTGTGTTTTTGCGGATATATTACATTACTATGCATTTGGGAGCGGACATTTCTAGTGCCCTGCAGCAAATGGAAGCTGTTAAGAAGGGCATCGATGAGTCCGAAGATGCAAAATTGCAAATGCAAACTGCCGAAAGCCTTAAAACAATATTAGATTTATTGCAGGATCCAGTTTTTCGTACCATTGTTCACGTTCAAGATTCCCTTTCCGAATTAAATGCTCAGTTGGCGCAACATCCATCAATGCTTCCCAATGATTTTGATATCGACGTGGCTGGAAATTTGGTGTTGAGTATTAATGGTGGTGATGTTATGTATGATTTTTCTTCTGCACCACTTTCTCCTCATTCGGGTCCAAGTAGTCCAGGTAGTGGTCAACTTACACCTTCTGTGTTGACAGGAGTAATCGAATCGGATGAACAAGGACGTCCACATTCTCAAAATTCTAAAATAACAGGGGATCTTTTTGCTGCTGACTATGCGCAAATACAGGCTATTGAGTTGGTCAATGATGGTACTGGTCTTGGGTTCGGAATAATTGGTGCGCGTACTTCAGGTGTGACTGTAAAGACTATTTTACCAGGAGGGGTTGCAGATCGCGATGGACGCTTGCGTTCTGGAGATCATATTTTGCAAATCGGTGATGTAAACTTGCATGATATGGTTTCTGAGCAGGTGGCAGCAGTACTGCGGCAATCAGGTACGCACGTGCGCCTCGTAGTGGCGCGTCCTATGGAGCAGTCGTCGCCCGGACAATTTACGCTAGAACCTGGAAGTGCTATAGTACCCACGCGTGTTTTAGCTGATCCAGTTGAGTTAGAGCGATACTTAATATCTACAGGATATCCGGAGATATTCGGAGAAAGTTCTACTGCATCTACACCACAAACTACCACAGAAGATGAAAGATTTATTTACCGTTCGGATGATATTTCTAAACGTCCACCAATGGCAGTGCCGACTATCGATTTGGATGAATTATTGGCTTTACCCGAAACTGAGAAACTACAAGTTGAATTAACTAAAGACATGAATGGTCTCGGTATTACTATAGCTGGTTATGTTTGCGAAAAAGAGGAGCTTTCGGGTATATTCGTAAAGAGCGTTTCACCAGGATCTGCTGCAGATATGAGTGGACGTATTCGCGTTAATGATCGCATTATTGAGGTAGATGGTCAATCGTTGCAAGGTTTCTCGAACCACCAAGCGGTTGAGCTGCTCAAGAAATCAGGCCAAGTAGTTAATTTACGATTGGAGCGTTACTTACGTGGTCCAAAGTACGAACAATTGCAGCAGGCTATTGCTGCCAATGATAAAATACCTAGTGTTCCGTCGACACCTTCTCGAGTTAATTTACCTTCGCCAATTACTCCAGTTACATCACAACGAACATCATCTGTGCCTAAGGCACAATATCCAAGTCATGTCACAGAAGATTCCCATGATCTATCTTTTGATGGTATTTCCAATTTGCCATCGGTCACCATTGCAGATTCATTTATAACTGTGTCGCCGGCAACTACTTCTTCAATACCTACAACTACTTTGAGCAGTTTTGGATCGGGCAAAAAAATGATAGCAGTACGTGATTCCATTGATGGCACACCAAAAATTATACCTACAGACATTTCCATCGGCTCTATTGGCAAGTCCGAAAGTGAATTAACTGAAATGGAAGTAAGTAAAATTATTACTGTTTATTGATATTTCACTAAAACTTTGGTATTTAAAGGAACCAATGCATGCTAAGAATTCAACTTTAATTTCTCGGCACAAATACTACACTGATCCGGAGTTAACTCCAGATGTTGAACAGGAGATCATACGTAAATGGAAAAAGATTGTCGGCCCCGACGTTGATGTGATAGTTGCCCAGATTAAAAAGTTTGCAGTTGGTGGTTTAGGAATTTCTTTGGAAGGAACCGTTGATGTTGAAGGTGGACGTGAAGTCCGGCCACACCATTATATTCGTTCAATATTGGCTGATGGGCCTGTTGGTGTAAACGATGTTCTTCGATCTGGTGATGAGCTATTGGAAGTGAATGGCGAACGTTTACTTGGAATGAATCATTTAGAAGTAGTTGCTATTCTCAAGGAGCTGCCACAAGATGTACGTATGGTATGTGGCCGAGGCAAGAATGCTTTAATGCCATTCTCAGATGATACCTTGAAGAAATTAAGTAGCAATTTTGAGAATTTAATGCCGACCTCTGATCGATTGGTGAAAGCCAAATCCGATGGCAGCTTGGCCACTGCGGGTTCGGTCAACGACGACTCGTTCAACAAGCTGAAATCACGCTCACTAGAGCCACTTACAGGCCTTGCAATGTGGTCGTCCGAGCCGCAGATAATAGAACTGGTCAAGGGCGATCGTGGTTTGGGCTTCTCCATACTAGACTACCAAGATCCGTTAGATCCAAACGATACGCTAATTGTTATAAGATCTTTAGTGCCGGGAGGAGTAGCACAATTAGATGGGCGTCTTATACCCGGAGATCGCTTGTTATTTGTCAATTCTATAAATTTGGAAAATGCTTCTTTAGATCAAGCAGTTCAAGCACTAAAGGGTGCACCAAAAGGAGTAGTGCGTATTGGCGTAGCTAAACCGCTACCAATGACAGATAATTCTTTGAAGAGTGGAAATGGTAACAGCATTGAATCGAAATGCGAAGACTCATCTATGGAATCGAGCGGAATGCTGGGCAGTGAAAATGTCTCTATGCAGCTAAGCAATGCTTCTACAATGATTGTTGAGCCAGATTTAATTCCAGATTGGCGAAAATAAGTTATTCATATAAAAAATGAGCCAAAGGAGCAACTTATTCCAACCTATTGAAACCTTTTATGCACCTAAATGTATTCATTGAAAGTTGCAAGTTGTTATTCTAGAATAGGTTACAATAACATTACTCCTACGTCGAAACTAGAGAATATAGGATGATCGGGTTCAAACATATTGTATTATTAACGAAATGTTATTTTCAATTTATTTCATTTGAAAATGTTAATTGAACTATACTTAATTTACAAACGTGCTTATTCTTAAATAATTTAGAACGCATTCCATTTAATAAATTTCTAGTTATCATCCCTTTTGGAAGCTTTTATATTACTAATATACAAACATATGTGCACACATTTACATAAACAAATGTTTCACTTAAAATAAAAGTTTCACTTTAGAATATGCTTCGTTAATCTATAATGGGCAACAAATATGTATTCATAAGTAAAATAGAATACCATAATTAACCATTTTTATGATGATATCGTTATTAATTTGAATCAAGAGTCTGCAAGTAGCATTTTTCAATTTTAAGAAGCATTACGCTTATAATTAATTATTCTAATACATGTAACTTATCGTTAAAATCTCATAACTTTAATACATACACATCCATATCCTTTGAACCCAATAGCCTAAAGCTGCAATACTGAACTCTGTAAAATATCAGGTGTTATTAGTATTTGAGTTTGAGTTTGATTCGTAGACAAACCTTTTAATGTTATTGCATGCGGTTCAATTGTCGTTCAATTTTTAAATGCGTTCTTCGTGATAATATTCGATCTCTAGCATATGAAACCAGATAGCTAAGTGAGCCTATACAGAAGCATGTAATCTCAAATTTAATGAAATTACGCTGGTCGATAAGCGCAACCCGATCACAGCTACGCGTCACAGTTTCTCCACTTTTACAACGTAGAACTTCCTTGTAGTGCGTGTGTATACAAACACCCAGGCTTTTGCTTACAATGTCGAATTCGGTGCATGGATGACATTCCTGTATGACACTATATTCTTCGCGCTGCCAACATGTGGAATTGTTTTCGATGACGAACTGTTGAGCTCGGGAGCGTCGTGTACTCTCACTATCAGGAAAACGCGACTCGATAATAAGCACTATAACGGTTGCAACCACCAATAGGCTGAGCCCTAGTAGCATGTGACGCCTTTGACAAGTTTCCAACATTTTCAGAGTTAAGAAATATCTCGCCAAAAGTTATGATCTGTTGTATATAATTTTTTGATGTGCAATTTTCTTTGCTTTTGTATGCGATCAGATGTTAGGTTTTTACTTAAAACAGCTGTGATACAGTGGTGCCAAATTAAATAAATTCAAAGAAAGCTAATAACAGAGAATGTAAATAATCCACATTCTCTGCTAATGACTTCAGATAATTTACGTTTTCTGATAACTTTTTACTGAAGCAAATTTCTTTAAATACATTTTTTATTAATTCAAATATATTTCCTTATAATAAATTAAAAAAGTATCCCCTAATAGTAAGCTATTGCATGTTAGTTGTAATAAAGGTATAATAGAATCGGAGTCGAGCTATCGATCCCTAAGAAAGTGTAAAACAACTCGCGTTATTTGTTTTGGTGGCACTTCTTACATCAATTTTTGGCGCCCCTTTCTTGAATGTGAATATCAACTTATTGTTTTAGCACATTAACGTTATAATTCACGGAATTTAAATCAAATTTAATTTTGAGACATATTTAACATGGATGATTTAACTAAGCTCAAAAGAAAAATAACGGGTTCCTTCAAACTAAGTGGATTTCTTATACGATCAGAAAATAGTGCTTTTTTGGCGGAGCAACTTCTTCCATTCGATGATGAAGAACGTGATAAGTGGTTGACTGTTATTACTGAAAACTTGCAAGGTCAGCGTTTACAGACGACACAAGTGGAGCGAGGAGCACTGGAAAAAGCTATCAATGAAATAAATCGTGTTGGTTTGGATGAGGGTGAGACAGTTTTCTCGGTTATCGATGCGTTCAAAGTGCCACGCTACCACTACAATGCACAAAATAAAAAGTTCCAGCCAAATAAAGATTTACGCACTATACTGACACGTCCAGCTTTAAAAGCAGGACACCTGCGAGAAAGGTATGCAATGTTACTTCAGAAGACCTTACGTCACGAGTTGTTTGCCCCAGCTATAATACAGGGAGGAGTTTCAGCAGAGTCTCAATTAAAAAAATTCGAATTACAATATGCAGAAAACTTACTTGCAACATCATCGGTAAAAGAAGCAGTTATACTTGGATTATTGACACAGCTGAAAGAAGGAAAGTTTTTCATAGAGGATCCTACGGGTAGTATTGAATTGGACCTAACTAGAACACGTTTCCATTCTGGTTTCTTTTGTGAGGGATGTTTCGTCTTAGCTGAAGGTTCATATAATAATGGCACCCTTAAAGGTCAGTACTTTGTAATATATATTTAAGGTAACATATATTAATATATTAAACTTATTCGTCCTCAGTTGATGGCTTAGGTTTTCCACCTGCGGAGGCAGCGACTAGTTCGAGAGCTTTTTTTGGTACTCAAAATAGCTGGGGTGGAGAATCTGTAAAGTTACTGAAATATTCTACACGACTGCAAGAACTGGAAAGCACAAATACTGAGGCTACACTTGTTTTTTTGTCAGATGTTCGTCTAGACAACCCAGTAGTTTTAGAGAGATTGCGTATGTTATTTGTTGGTTATGATTCATGCCCACCTGTTGCAATAGTGCTAATGGGGCCGTTCTCTGCTTCCAGCACCAATTACCATTCACTATCTCAAAATTTAAGTGCGTTGGGATCATTAGCTACTGGATGCGATCAGCTAAAAAAGCAAACAGATTTAATTATTATACCATCTTGCGAAGATCCAACAGCTCCAAATATTTTGCCACGAGCTCCACTACCTGAAACACTCGCAACTGGTTTGCGCAAAGCATGGCCACGGACAATTTTAGCAACTAATCCTTGTCGGCTGCAGTATTATACACAACAAATTGTCGTATGCAGATTAGATTTAATGGCAAAGTTCTGTCGCAACACGTTACACTTCCCGCCCGACACAGATAATATCGAACAACATTTTGCACGTACTCTGATTTGTCAAAATCATTTAACACCTATACACCCGATCGCTATGCCCGTGCATTGGGATTTTGATTCAGCTTTGTGGTTATATCCATTGCCCGATTTAGTTGTTATTGGCGATTCATGCCAAAGCTTTTCAACAACTCAACATGGATGTACGGTGCTTAATACAGGATCTTTTGTGAAATCTAAATTTGCATTTAAAGTTTATATACCGGCGAGCCGCACAATTGAAGATTCAGAAATACCAGATGATATGACAATGGAATAAAAATTCCTGTTTTTTTACTTTAAGCGTAATTGTATTTATATGTGTCATTTTTTAAGTGGTATAATAAATGTTGCTAAAATTTATTTAAGAATGAATGTGTTTCCATAATTTTGTATTACATATTAGCTAATATTCTGTCTTGCGGAGGGTCACAAAAGATATGAAAGACAATACTCAAAACGCAGTAATTTGATTTAACTTTTTAAATTTATTTTGCGGTGATTAAATAAGGCGTATTTTTTATTATATGGATTTAAAAGTTATTAGCCAAACAAAAAAATTCATACCTTAGAGTAGTAATCTTAACTAAAATATTTTGTTCAAGTTTCATAACATTTTATCAATCGTTCTCAGTTTGGGGCTTTAAAGTAACGGTGATGTTGTTGTTGTTGTAACGGTTACCTAATCCCCGTTTGGGTGATAAATTCTAGATTGGTTGTCGTCGAGGTCATCTAACGGGAGGCCCAGGAAACAAGCTGTTTCGACGGGGTCGGACCATAGGGAAAAGGGTGTTAGATGAGTGGGGTTCGTTGGGCATGCAAAGAGGTGGTTAGTGTCATGCGGAGACTCATTGCAGGCAGGACATGTGTTTGGTATGTCGGGGTCTATTCTAGATAAGTAGGAGTTTAACCTGCTCCAATATCCAGAACGAAGTTGCGGGAGGGTCACTCTGGTTTCGCGAGGCAACTCGAGCTCTACGTCTGCTATGGGTGGTGGTTTGACTCGTAGTACGCCATTCACTGAGAGGGAGTGAAGGTGTGGATGGCTCCACTGTGAATGGCGGTCAGTGCTTGTCTGAAGTTCGTTGCGTCCGAAGTCCAGTCGGCGTACTGTCTAATGTCGTCGACGTAATGAAGGAAAGACTTCTTGATGTTCCCGCTTCAAGCAGACGACTGCAGGGATGGTTTCTACGAAAACAACACAGCAGAAACTGCTTGGCGACTAGCTCATTATGTTCCTTAACCGGAAGCATACGGACCTCACTGTGTAGGTGTTCGATTGGGGACATCAAGAGGCATCCCGTGATAGTCCGGAGTGCAGTGTTCTGACAGGTCTGGAGCTTCTTCGTCTGCGTGACACTACATCCAGGCGACTATATTGGGGCTGCATAGTTTAGGACCGGCCGGCCGATTGCCCTGTATGTCGCCACCAAAGTTTCTTTGTCTTTTCCCCAAGAGCTGCCAGCCAGAGATTTGAAGATTTTTTTGCGGCTCTGTACTTTGGTAGTTATCGCGGTCGTGTGAGGAGTGAAGGAGCTAAGACTGTCTAGTGTAACGCCTAAAATTTTAGGGTTGTTTACCGTTGAAATTTTGGTGCCATCGACTGAAATGTTTAGATCCAGTCTGTACTCCTTCGTCCAGTTTGTAAATATGGTCGCTATGGATTTTGTGGGGGAGAGTGTCAGACTCCTTGCAGAGAAGAAGCGAGAAAGATCAGAGAGATAGCTGTTTACAGTCGAGCACATGCCATCTATTCCATTACCCGACGTCAATATCGTGCAGTCATCAACGTACGAGGTCACGGAAATTCCTTCTGGTGGTTGGGGGAGTTTCGAGATGTAGAAGTTAAACAGTAAAGGGGAGAGGATACCCCCTGTTTAATTCTTCTCAGTTTGGAGTTTGACCTCGAAACAGTACGGATGAATGCCGACCGCTCAGGTAGTTCATGGTCCACCGCTTCAGCCCTGGAGGGAGCGTAGATTGTTCGATGTCCTCAAGTAGCGTTGTGTGGTTGACTGTGTCGAAGGCTTTCGACAAGTCCAACGGTACGAGGATCGTCCTCTCGCAGTGTGGCTTCTGGTTTAGGCCATGAACTATCTGGGCGTTTATGACGCTAAGTGCTGTGGTGGTGCTGTGCACTTTCCGGAAGCCATGCTGATGTTCTGCTAGACTAAGTGGGTGTGTGAACGTCGGGAGTAACAAGGCCTCAAGTGTCTTCACTACTGGGGAAAGGAGAGTTATCGGACGATAAGACTCCCCTTTGTTGGCGGGTTTCCCAGGCTTCAGTAGTGGGACCATTCTTCCGACTTTCCACACATCGGGTATTTGAAGAGTGGCCATCGACAAGTTGAGGTAGCTTACTCCCGTCGAGCCTAGATGTTTTAGCATCAGCATGCTTATTCCGTCTGGCCCAATGGATTTTGACGATTTGGCCTTTGTGATGGCACTCTGAACCTCCCCATCGGTTAAAGTAAGTGGTGCGCAGTCTTTTGGCATTTTGCGCAGCTGTCGGGTAACACATCGTTTGGACTAGTCAGTCGAAGGGTGCAGTGTAAACTGCCGATCGTCATGTTTCCTCGGATTTGACAGGGCCTTGACAGTAGTCCAAAGCTTTCTTACACCGGTGGAGAGGTTGCAGGACTTCAGGTGCTCTATCCATTTTGTCCGCTTATGATAGTTTACCATTTGCCGAATCTCCAAATTGAGATCCCTTATTCGGGGATCACAGGGATCGGCATGGCGTAAGGTGTCGCGCACGTTTGCTAGTACAGCTGCTTCGGCTGGGAAATTAGGGCGGAGTTCCGCGAATCTTCCAACCGGTATGAAGCGAGCAGTAGCAGCAGCGAACACCTTGCGGAATTGACGCTCACCAACGATGACGTCCGTAGGAATGGGTAGTGCGTTGAAGGTGCTCTCGGTAAATTCTGTGAAGCCGACCCAGTTGGCTTTGTTAAAGTTAACAAAAGTGCTGTTGTCCACAGGAATAAAGTCGGGAGGTTTCTCGATCGAGATAATTATGGGCAGATGGTCTGATGCGAGAGTTAGCATAGGTCGCCAGGTTATACTATTTATCAGACCACCGCTAGCGATGGTCAGACTGGGAGTTATGCTGTCTCTGTGAGCTCCTTAGGGCCGTGGAGGTCCTATCTTGGCCATTCGACTGGAGTGGCGGCGCAGTACGTGAACAAGGTGCAGATTGCAGA